AAAATTGACTGAGCAAACTAATGTTTCTGCTTTCCAAATAAATAAATCTGACTGCTTCCCCCAGTCTGACAAATTGACAAAAGCATTTTTCATAACAGCCTTGAGTGTTTATTGTCAAATTCATTAATTTTATAATTTTGCATTCTAAAACCTCGCTACCATTAACTCAGTCTAGTACTTTCTTTAGGTGTGTTATTCATGTTTGAAAATGGTAAGAAAAGATCAGTTGGTAAAGAGGATTTTGCTGGAGAAGATGAAATGTTTGTACTGATGCAATGGCCGCTGTTCGGCCAGATCATGCAGATGAAAGGCAGTCCAGGGTGGAGATTTGTACCCTTGATGTGACATGGTTATTAAAAAATGCACAGTTCATACCAGCTTTTTAAAGCTTAGTAGGACGCAGGCTCAGCGGGATTATCCAGCAGCTGCTGGAGTCCGCAGAGGAACGCTGAAATTAACTTCTTCACGTGAGAGAAGAGCACCAATCAGCTTCGCGAAAGCGACACCGACATTCATTTTCACCTCGCCCGCTGTAACCAGGAATTAAGGCTAATTCCATAAAGTGATTAATTTAATTTCATTTCATCGTTTCACTCACTCTTCTGCTGCGTGTCTGTGCTTGTCAGCCTCTTGGAGGCAAAACAGGCACGAAGCTGTTTGTTAGATTTCAGAAAAACAGAACCAAGAATAGAAAATTCAAAGAAAGAATCAGAAAAATTACAACTTCCACAAATGAACTTCTGAATTATGATTTCAGGAATCCATCACAGTTTTATGTCCCATCGCTGAGAGTTAACTGTTTGTATAAATGTACTGTCAAATTCATGTATATTATTTCTTGTACAATGTAGACATGAAAAAAAGAGTATTTTTTTGAACACAGAAAAACATGCAAGCTATATTTTTGTTGGTATTTATTGGGCTAGATAGAACATTAATAAAACCAGGTGCAACCAGTCTATATCAGAAGTTACGAATTTAGTAAGTCGAGTCCACTTGTGTGCAGTTTAATTTCAGTATGAATCCATTGTATTGAAAAGACGTCTGAGGGCCTCAGAGGTTTGTAAGATTTATGAACAAACAGCAGCATAACGACCAAGGGACAGATCCAGCAAGTCAGGAAAAAAATCACAGAGATATTTAAAGTCATCATAAAGTCATTTAGATTTTCAGCAAATCTAAATCCATTTCATTTATAAAGCACATTTTAAAAACAATTTGTTTAACTAAAGTGACCTACAGAACAAAAACAGGTCAAGCCAAGACACAAATCATAGTTTCCACCAAGACTGTGATAAAATGACTCAAACAGCTGCTGACAGATGCTCATCAATGAAAATACAATACCGGACTTGTTTCAATTCAAGGCTGCCTCCATAAACGCATGCTACTGTCTTCTGAATCTTCAAAAAACATCAAGAAGAATTCAAGTAGCTGCTGAAAGAAATTTACAGACTTCACTGGATTAGTGAATGACTTTTGCAAATTAGTTAAAACGTGAAAGATAAACTTCGATTTTACAAAAACAAATTCAGAAAATCTAACAAAAGAATTTCAGCAACAAAACCTAAATGAAGAAGGTGTGATTTTGGGGTAATGCTGTACATAAACTATTTTTTTGTGTGTTAAATATAAAGTAATTTTTCTTAGCTCGAACTGAAGCAAAAATAAATATATTTCACATGTTTTTAAGCATATAGTACAACATTCTAATATTTCAGTCACACTTAAAAGAAATAATACCACCTTTTTGCAGGTAAAATTTAAATAATTTTAGAACCAGAATCATTAATTTAATCGTTAACATATTAAATGACCAAATCTGATAAGAAGGCAAACTTTCTTTTCGCAATGTCAGCACTTTTAAGAATTGCACATTAATACCGAAATATCCAATCCAAGTCAAATTCAAATTCAGTCTGAACTTAATCTCATCCTGCCATATAGTGACACAATCAATGTCATATTAATAGCGAATATGATGCAAATCTCTAATCTTTTAACCTATGAATGATTTTTAAGAGTAAAATTATTATTATAGCATAGTCACTAAATCGGCTTTACGAAGAATTCTGTGTCCCATGACATGAAACATAATTTGGGAAATCATTGTCTACTTTCAAGGCTCGAAATCAGTGGAATACACTTCCACCTGACTAGAACTGACAATCGACAAAGCCTTGATGTGTCTAGACTGATGCGTGAGTCTTTCAGGATAAAGAAATTATTGTATTGAAAATTGATTCTAGATATGTGATGTGATTTTGACAATGCCGCTATTTGTTGTAAGCCTTTAGTGAACAAATCATTTTCTGCTCCAGTTATATATTTTTTGTTTATATACATATTATTATCTGTGAACAGCCGGAGTTTGCAAATACCCGAGACAATGATTAAAAATTTTTATTTTATTGATTCAAACAACAAATGTACCTCACCATGCCAAGCTAAAATTCACAGTCTTTTCTATCTGTGCTTAGTGCTACAGCCAATCAGAGCAAAGGAAAATAATGATAATCCTGGATTCGTTGATTTGCAAACAGCCATTAGTGGGTCAAGTAGCTTTGTAAGCTGCGTTTTCTTTGAATATTTTTGATATGCTTAGCAAAAAGAAAAGCCGCAAACCGGTAAATGTGTGGATAGGCAGGGTAATTTTGGCTTTAACAATACAGCTGCACTAGTCTTTTTCAAGGATCAGATGGTGATACAGCAGAAAACTTCAATAATTTTTAAAACATAAGTCCTGAGTGTGTGAGTCAAAAATTTTAATTATGTTTCTTTAACACAAAGGCTCAAATATATCCACACATCCCCACTGAAAATTGTCTCTGTGCAAGTTGCACTTCGATGGCATGTTTGTGTTTCATAAATAAGTATCAATGATAATTCTAGATGGATATTTGACCTCTGTTCTAGGCAGGACTCATTTAAATTTTTAATGTTTGACCCTTAAAACTTTGACCCAGTGTGGAAACAGTTATTTTTCTTAAATGTGATCAAATATTGAGTCTGACTAAAACATATTTTTAATAAACACCGTCAAATTAATGTTAAAGTGACGGCTGAGTTCAGGCTGAATGAAGTTTTGCGTTCAGGACAGTGACAAAGACTATACACACTGATTCCTGACTGTAACCCAGAAACAAAGAATGATGCTCAGGCTGCGCAAATGTGTCAGGTGGACAATCTTCATTAATGTATGGGCAATCAGACAGATTGATTCAGATTCAAACACCAGTGGATGATCTTACAACATCTGGCATGCCGATTAAATCGGGCAGATGTATCGCACTAAGATCAGCAGAACAGGCCAACATTTGCTTCTTCGCCCTGACACATTTGACAAAAATATGGCCAACAGTGTCGTTAAAGCTGACCAATTAACAGATTATTTCTCACTGTATAGAAACTGAAGTTTAATCCTGCTCATAAATTCCATTGAAGTTTAACTTTGACCTTTAATGTGGATTAAACAGATGAGATGTTGCATGTTTAATGACTAAAACTGGATATGAGGAAATTAATTTATTAATCAGTAATAGATTTTTTTTGTTTGCATTTTCTTTTTTGTATGAAGCAAAATTCATCCATAACCCATATTTACTGGAGAAGCATTAGGTTCAAAAGATTTTTTTTTATAATTTATATTGTATAATTTATGCCTTCTAAATTTGAAAAAGTGCCCTAGTTTTAAGTATAAAAAATTTAAATGTATTTATTTATTTATTTTTACAAATAAAAATTAAATAGCTTGTTTTGTTCACTAAAATTGACTTGAATTACTGCAATGGTAATTATGTTTTGTATTTTATAATCCAGAAATCTGCAGCTGTGTCTCCTGCTGCATCAAGTTAGGAGTTATAGCCACGAACTAAGATGATCACTTTTTAAATCACATTTCTAATGCTTCCTTTAATTCTTTAACTCCCCAGTAAAAATAAAAAAACTCTTCCCAATAGAGCAAAGGATCACCTTTCAACCAAGTTTTTTATTAACAATCACCATTTTATTTTGATTTTAAGTCTAACAGTGAGACAAAATTACACTGTTTACCTTCTATTGGTTGCCTGTTGTGGGCTAACAAAGGTGTATCATCAATGCGTCATCTCATCACTGGTTTGGTTTCATTCTGTATTTACCCAATACTGGGACACCTGTCATAACTCGAAGTGAAGCTGGGTTTAAATATTAATTTATTGGCTTGAGAGGATTACGGTGCAGTTCCTGCAGCTTTAAAAGAGAGTGAAAAATATAGAATTTTATTTTTAAAAAATAAAATATGTCCAAAGATCCATAAACAGAGATAGAAAATTAATGTTTTCTGTAGTAAAAATACTTCAGTGTTAGACAAAGTGGTCACAGTTGCATCACTGTGACTTAAACTGCTTTCAGTAACTTACTCTGTAGTTCTAATATGAAGCATTATATGAAGTTTCATTATTATTATTATTGCACATTTCTAGTCATAACACCACATGCAAAAAGGGGAGAAAGACACACAAATTCCTAAACCAAGGCTACAAGAACAAAATGAAAGCATTTCTCTATTCTGTCTAGACCTTAAATCAGAGATTAAAAGGCTAATTTCATCCAACACTGGCTTCCTTTGACATGTTTTAAATGTTTTTCTATACTTATTCAAACATTTCTAGTTGGTCATATCTGACTATTATGTGTCACAAAAAGTACCAATGACATGTTTGAAGCAGGAAAAGGACTGCTGTCTTTAAAGCTACATATATGTGCTGTAAGGTGACTTAGACTTCATTGAATTGACATTTAAATCAGTGTTTGTCTCCATTGATCTAAAATTTAATTTCTTTTTCTTTTATTATTGTTTTACACGCCGAAAGGAAGTAGAAAAGCCCAACTCTTGCCTGCGTGTCCTATATCTGAATCTTGACCAAATAATCTCTTGAAACTCAAACTGATTCTCCCATAACACGGCTCAGTGGCACATGTTCGTCTTACATCAGTCCATGACCGGTTTCGTCACTCACCCTGGCTGGTGGGTCCCCCTTCTCCCTCTTCACAGTCAGTCATGTTGTTCTCCATCTCCTCTCCTCAGCAGGTGGGTAAAACTCTCGGCAGGATGGAACCAAAGATGAGATGTCTGTGTCCCTCCACGTATTTCTTTCCTTACTTTACAGATTTGTTTCTTTTTATTGAAATCTGTGCAGCTGTATCTTTGTGTGTTTTTTTTTTCTTCCTTTTTTAACGTACGTGCCTGATTTGCTCTGTCTCTCATCAAGAGGAGTCCAGAGAGACTGAGAGCCGCTGCAGGGTAGAGTGGATGCTGGTGCACGATGCCACTCACGTGCACGCTCTCAGCCTCTGCGCGCCACTCACCTCCCAGTCAGTTTAAGCCTGGTGTCTACATTCATCGTGTATTCAGGAGGTTTTTAACCCACCCGCCCCTGTCTCTTTCTCTCTGTCACGATCATCTCATCATGAGAGATAGACAGAGAGGGATTGAGAGACAGAGAGGAGATGCGTCAGATCTCGGAGTGCTGCCTCCTCAGATGTGCTTTTCAGACAGAAGACCGTATTGCATTTTGTCACTGTGTTGTTCATCCTTCTCTCTTTTTCTGTATTGCAACATTTCTCTATTATACTCATCTTTGTGGTCTTGGCCCATTATCTGTGAACTACCTGGAGGCTACACTTTATAGCTCAGTGAACTTAGCTTTCACTGATACCCCCTGCACAGGCTGAACTGTCTGGGAGTACTAGATGACTCCTGGAGTGCGTGGGAGCCACTTCCCTGAAGTTTCCTATTTATTTAATATTTAGTACTGCTCTATAGCATTACAAATAAATTTAGAGAGCATTACCGGGAAACTGAATGATCTTAAACTTAATTTATTTTATTCATAGGGATTGTTTTTATTTACCTTCTACTTGAGGACTTCATTTTATCCAGTAAAAATGCATTATTAGAGAAATGCAATTTTACATTGCCTAGCAGAATTAATGAATACGTGTATGCGATTCATCCAGCCTCATTTATCTCACTGACCTATGTTTACTGAGCTCAACTGATCCACACCACCTGCTTCACAATAAGGATAAAATGACCAAAACACCACTGGCATTTAATGGATGAAATGAGGGAAAATGTTTTTTTTTTTTTCCTTTTTATAATCTGCGATTATTTGTTTGCTTGATGTTACATCACCATTAACTGCATGAGTCTCTGGTATGATAATCTCAGTTTGGAAGACGCTCATTTAACAAGTGGAAACCAGCTAAATTCACCCCCTTTTGGGATCTACTGCATGTAACCCTTCTCTGAATTAAACTTAGAATAGACTCCTGATTGAGATTCATCAAAATGGAAAACAAAGCCTTACAAATATATTTTCATCCCTTAAGACTTTCTCGCATTTTTTGTTAAAACCAAATTTTTTTTATTCCTTTTTTTTTTTAAGGGGGGGGGATTACTGTCATGTTTGATGGTTTATAAAAAAGCAGGTAGATGGTAAAAAAAAGTTTAGCAAAATAGTTAAAATAACTTAGAATAAAGAACTCAGATTTTAATTTAGTTTTCTTGTATTAATTAAAAACAAAATAACCTACACAATGGAAAATAATGACTGGTTTTTGAAATTAGCTGCTGAACAAATCTAAAAAGGTGTCTTTTCATTTGGCACCCTTTCCTCTGAATTTTCCTCTTTGGTAAACCGTTTACCTATAAATAAGTTAATCCAAGAAATACAGTTTTTCTGCAAAGGGAAGAGAGGTTTGTTTGAGAAAATTACTGAAGAAACAGCACAATTAAGCTCAAGGAACAAATTAGAGAATGGGGGACAACTTTGGAGGAGCTGCAAAGATCTAGAGCTCCGGTGAAATAATCTTTTCTTTACTCATCAACTATTAGTCATCAGCTCCAAAATTCTGTCTATATTTTGTCATTAAAAAAAGCAACAAAATAAGTTGCTGTCTAAAACCACAGCGCAAACATGCAGTCAAAAGCTGACTATTTTACTGACTATATTTTAGTCCTTTTTCTCTGGTATTTTAATGATTTGTCTTTGGAAATGAATTTACACCACTTTCACTTAAACAATTTGAGGGCTTTACTGTGAAAGGCTAACAGAATGACTTCCTGCAGGTCAATTAGTAATAAAAACCAAGACGCTGAGTCTAAATCAACTTTATTTTGAAAACCTGACAGCGGTGTTTTCCCCCTCATTAGTACAATTCAGTTGGTGTTGTGGTACTTGTTTTTATAATGTTGTCAGCAATGAAATACTAAAAACTTTTTAGAAGTTTTTCTAAAACTTTTATTTCTAAGTCTAAATGATTTCCCTGTTCACTTGTTTATGCTCATCAGGGATTGTTGCTACTGTACCAAGGCACATAAGACTGAATCTTCTTTTTAAACTCAGCTGTGAGTTGAATGTTAGACTGAGCATTGTGAGCGCCACAGACATCAAACGTTCATGTTAATCTAACTGTTCTCCTGCCCTGTCAGTGAGAGTGGGTAGTTGGCTGCACTTTGATTGGCAGAAAGCCTGAGAGCCATCTTCATCTGGGCCAAGCGGCTTTAGGTCTTAACCCTCAGGCTCCTCCCTCTTCGCCTGCTGCTGTTGCTGCTGCACATGTGGATCGGACTACGACAGCTCCCAAACTCAATCATCCTGGTTGCCGGTTTTACAAAAGCATGCAAGTGCACGCTGCTTTTCATATTTTCTTTTAGAGGAAAAGAAAAAGGGGAAAAAAAGAATACACCGGCATGCGCATGAGCACACCTACAGACACCCTGGAGTGAATTTTCTGGTTGCCTAATCCCACAGATTAAGGCCATGGAGTGCTGGGATAAAAATCCCTGTCTTGCTTTTCCTGATTGAGCTCAATTCTCAGTGCTTTCAGTGAGCGCCCATGGTTGCTATGCATAAAAAATGATACCTGGCGTCTCACCAAATAATTATGGTTCCTGATAATTGTGTCATGAAAAAGGTGGCTTGAGGATTGAATAAAAGAAAACATGCAACACATACCAGGAGGAAGATTAGTCCATGTAAAATAAAGCAAAAAAATGAGGCAAAACAGAAACTGGTATCGAGACAATAATTAATAATCAACAATCAATAATTAAGCAGGAAATAACACAAAGATCTGGAGATTACAAAGGTGCATAATCGTGATATACGGATAGGTGTGATGATCACAATTAAAAACTTGAAGTGGGGTGAATTAATCTATAAGCAACTCAGGCAGTCTGCTGACTGAGAATTGTTGGGTGAAATGAATCAAACCTATCCAAAGAAATATTTTGACCAAGGAAAATTATTTTAAAAAATTCCATTCAAAACACAAAAATCACATTGAACAAGTATTTTCAAAGAGTTGTTGTATATGGTGCTGCTGTGGGCAGGAAGGATCTCTGATAGCAGTCAGTCTTGGAACAAATCTGAAGAAACCTCTGACTGAAGACCACTACAATATGAGGATGGATAAGATTTATAGAAAATGAAAAACGGCCCAATTTGTGGAATTTCAGTATGACTACTCTGTTTTCAGTAGTTATACTGTTGGTAATAGTCTCGGTGGTACATTGTTAATCGCTTATGTCTCTGTCCTCAAACGAACATCATCAAATCAATGTCAACTCCTCCAAAAATATCATAGATTGATTTGCTTTCGTCATTACGTTCCCCTCTCCCCCCAATCAAATTGGCTAAGCAGTTTAGCAGGGAAAAAAGTCAACTGGTGTAATCCCTTTTAGCAGTGAAATCCTCTCAGAATGATGACATGTTGTAGCTTGTCTGAGGGATCAGTGACTGGCTGAAGCTGAAAACACTGCCGGCACAGAAGGATAAGAGAATATGAAGAGATTTATGCACAGCCATTTAAAGACACTCAACAAGTTGAAGGTTTTTAATGAAGGGAATGAAATTTATTCAGTCTTGTTTGTCAATGAATTTATTCCTCTTGGTTTAAGAAAGTGGTTTTCAGGCAACTTTTAAACCACAGAACCAAGAACTTTGCATGTAGGAAATGTGACAAGAATTTCTCCAAGTTTAATAATTAAGGTAAAAGGAGTGTCAGTTTTTGGGAGGAAGCTGCTTTTGTTTATTGTTTACTATTGGAAATTTTTTATTCCCTTCTAAATAATAATAATAATAAAATCTTTATTAATATTATAGCTAATTGCTGCTCAGATCTTTGGCATTTTGACGTGGACTTTTTGGAGATGAATTCCAAATCTCTGAAGTTGGACAAACTTTATGCTTCAGAATCTTTAGATTCCCCATGAGATTCAAGTTGCTACACTAAATCTTTCACTGCCCAGTTTCGGCCACTCTTTCGAAAATTCTCTGGGTTTTTTTTTTATAAGATTTTTATTAAATGTAGCCTTAAAACATCCTACATTTAACTAAAATGTTATGAATCACCCGATGTTTACCAACCCTTTCCAGATTGTTTACAGGAATCCTAAAGGTTACATTTTACATGGAAAAATGTAAATTTCTAACTTTCAAGAAAGTGATAAACCAAGAGAAATGCTCCCCTCAAAAATGACACCTCTCATTGTTCTTGGACTGAACATACAGATTTCTCTGACATGCAACCAGACCTTTATGATTTGCATAGGCATTTTTACTGCAAACCTGCTGGTTGGGATTTAGTTACGCAGTGAAACACTCCTGCTGATTTGTCTAATAGCCAACAGATGGCGACACAGACTGGTCTGGTTATACTTACAGCACTTATGGTTATTTTTTTTTTTGAGCCATTTCTTTTCAGTGATTATTAAATGTGACTGTGAGGTTTTGTCTAAAGTGTTGTAGTGGTATACAACATTCCCTACCGCCATTGTTATTTTGTATTACAAAATATTATTTTATTTTTCTGAATTCTTTAAAAATCTTGCTCCCTGCAGTTTCTGTTTTGAGATTTTCACGGGTTTGTAATGAAGACAGCCTGCTGGAATATAAATTTGAACGTTCATAAGGGGGAACGCGGTGGTAATGGGGCTGGCGTGGCTGCAGTTGTAATATGAGTTACCACCGAAACTGTGAGAAACCAAGAGAGAAACCTTCTCATCTTTGTGTCCCGCTGTGTTATGACAAGTCTCAGAGATACTTTCTGTGTGCCAGCAGGAAACCATTTTATTACATTGTGGGAAAAATAGATACTCACAGATAAAGATGTTACTATGTACAATGGAGTGACAATGCCTTCTTTCTGTTCTTTATTTCCTTGTCCTCGAATTTGCCCCAAATCTTCGGTTGGGAATATGACTAGTGTATACATCTTCAGTACTTGTTTTGATCATGATGGAGATAAAACAGTATTGTATTATG